TGCAGACTTGCCGCATACCAGTATGCCACAGGAACAGTCTGCGGCAGATCTGCGGCAGGATGAAATTTTGCTGCAGACTTGCCGCATACTAGTATGCCACAGGAACAGTCTGCGGCAGATCTGCGGCAGGATGAAACTTTGCTCCAGACTTGCCGCATACTAGTATGCCACAGGAACAGTCTGCGGCAGATCTGCGGCAGGATGAAATTTTGCTGCAGACTTGCCGCATACTAGTATGCCACAGGAACAGTCTGCGGCAGATCTGCGGCAGGATGAAACTTTACTCCAGACTTGCCGCATACTAGTATGCCACAGGAACAGTCTGCGGCAGATCTGCGGCAGGATGAAATTTTGCTGCAGACTTGCCGCATACTAGTATGCCACTGGAACAGTCTGCGGCAGATCTGCGGCAGGATGAAACTTTGCTCCAGACTTGCCGCATACTAGTATGCCACAGGAACAGTCTGCGGCAGATCTGCGGCAGGGCGAAACTTTGCTCCAGACTTGCCGCATACCAGTACACCACAGGAACAGTCTGCGGCAGGTCTGCCACAGGAAATCCCATTAAAGTCTAATAGGGCCAATTGAAACCAATCATCTCATGCATATTCATTATTACTTTACACGTGTGACAGAAAAATACATTTATCATGATTTGTTAAGCAAATTAAGACAATGCACATCATTTTTGTGATTTCTATTTTCCTTTTGCCATTATTAACCAATAGATTATTTTGTCTGATCATGTTACAATTACATTCACGTTTAAGCAATAGATATATTGATTACTAACGAAGAAACTATGATTACTAACCAAGAAACAATATACATATTTAGTATATATATGTGTACGAGCCTGTGACACTTCAAATGTTACTCTTGAATACACTTCAAATGATCAATGTGATGAAGTTAATACAATTGAGAATAGAATATACCTAATTGGTAATATCGATATCTATTGGTATTACCTAATTGGTAATATTGATATTGCCAATATCGATTATGAAGTATCAATCAGTTTATCACTGGTTCTTCTACATGCATACTTTATTGCCACGTACTGGATATGAAAGAGTATGCGGCAGGTCTGCAGCAGGTCTATATGAGATATGAATATTCATGACGAAGAGTCTGCGGCAGGTCTGCAGCAAGTCTGCGGCAGACCTGCCGCAGACTCTTTATCATACTGGAAGAGTATGCGGCAAGTCTGCAGCAAGTCTGCCGCGGTCTGCGGCAGACCTGCCGCAGACTCTTCATCATACTGAAAGAGTATGCGGCAGGTCTGCAGCAAGTCTGCGGCAGACCTGCCGCAGACAGTCATCTTTTTCACATGCAAATTAGTTTTGCCGCAGACTTGCCGCAGACTTGCCGCATACTCTTTCAGTATGATGAAGAGTCTGCGGCAGACCTGCCGCAGACTCTTCATCATACTGAAAGAGTATGCGGCAAGTCTGCAGCAAGTCTGCGGCAGACCTGCTGCAGACTCTTCATCATACTGAATGAGTATGCGGCAAGTCTGCGGCAGACCTGCGGCAGACCTGAAAAAGTGTGCGGCAGGTCTGCAGCAAGTCTGCGGCAGACCTGCCGCAGACTCTTCATCATACTGAAAGAGTATGCGGCAAGTCTGCGGCAAGTCTGCGGCAAAACTAATTTGCATGTGAAAAAGATGACTGTCTGCGGCAGGTCTGCCGCAGGAGTATGCGGCAGGCTCATTTCTTTCCTATGGGTAGTCATTGATTCCTAAGAGGAAAGCTTTCAGTGAAGGAATTTCCACACCAATAGACCTTTCTAAATTTCAAGATTCATTTAGAGAATAACAATTTCAAACTACATGTGTAAGTACTGCAGACTGTATGCAATGCATGTAGAGCCTACATGTACACGTTTTCATGCAGTTAACAACTAATTTATTCATAACCCTTACCAATTTATTCATAACCCTTACCAAGTTTTGTACTTTTTAAAGTATTTTAATAATTGATTTGTCCTGATTTATGTTTCTTGAGAAGGGGACTTGTATGTTTAAGCTTACATTTAAAAGTATTCAACAAAGCCCCTAATTAAACTAATCCACCTTTCATTTCTTGAGTTACAAAAAAAACCAAAAACATCAAATTGGGTTTAGATATATTGCAATTGTTCACTGTACATATGTATACAGTACCCCTGAATAGCCATGCACATTAAGGAAGAAAAAAAATCTCCATATGGGCTGTCCGCTCCTGCCTGAAAAATCAAGTTCCCATTTCAAAATAATGGATTTATGCTGAAACCAACTGTATATAATACATTAATATCGTATCGGGTGGCAGAGGGCGTTCGAAAACTACTTTTCGAATTATTCGCATTTAAAGATTTGTTTTATATTTAAACTGCTTTCCGTCCTGAAAATTGGTTTAAAACATAAAAGACTAATAAGTAGTAGAAATGTTGTAGTAGAACACGGCCACAATTTTTTTTCTCGGAAATAAGTAAGTTTTATAAAAGTTTGAGGCGATTTAGTGCTAACGCCCTCCTGCTTAAAGTTTCATTATTGACCTGAAATTTGAGCTAACGCCCTTCTGCCAGCCAGGCGACGATATATCAGGTAATTATGTAACCATAACAATATCATGATTACCATAGACTACTTCACTTACAAATATGAAGCAATAGTTGTTCAAATATAAAGTTTCAAGGATTCAAACCTCCACCCCCCCCCCCCCTCCCCCCTCAACAACAAAAATCCCATGTGCCTAAAAGAGTGCACTGCTGTGGCAAAGTGAGGAATGGGGGTACATGTATAGTGTACTTAACTGTGTTTCCAAACTCTATGTACAGATGTATGACTTTTCTAAGGAACTATTTATAAGGAAAACAAAAACTTACATTTTCATTGTTTGTCAGTCTTGACTCCATCATTCCACTTTCTATCCAAGTCTTCAATGAACTATAATACAGGCCTTACACTAAACCTAACCGTACATGAATCCTATCAGGACTTCTCGTTTGAGAAAGGTTTTTTAGAAAGGTCTAGATGGTCACCAAACTCTCAATTTGTTTATCTGTATGAAAGACAGCGTCCAGATTTATGACTGGTCATTGTAAGAGATAATCCAGAAACCTAACAAAGGACCAGGTAAAAGTGTAAACACTTGAATGGCCATAAGGTATGTGGATGATTTAAGCTGTTTTCACACTCACCTCCAAAGAGGATCTAGTCTGGGTTAAAACCTCTTTCATATCAGGGGTACAAGAGGAGTAAATCCGGATCAAGCCTGTTCAGACCGAATACCTAATCTGAAGGTTATAATAGCATCTCTTGATCCGTACTTGATGTGGACCCCTCGAACAGCTTCCAAGACTAGGATCAATTCCACATTTAGTTCAGACCAGAAATAGATTCTTGGTATCAAAGCCTGTCTGTACTAGTTTGGCCAGAAGGGATTAGACCACCCAGCGTGGTCACTAACAGGTGGTTATCTCATCCACTCAGCTCTCAATTAACATGAAAAAGAGGATCACAGGGGAACATGGAGGACCAACAGGCACTGCTTATAGGCATTGTTTTCTACTGTAGAGGGAGCAATTAGTAGCTACAAGTAGTACAATGGGGCTTTAAATATGAACATGATCATGCATACATGTATGTACATTTCCCACATAGTGCTTTTATGTACCCACAATTATTAAATAACATTATGCACACTTTGACTGTAGTATGTACAGAGCATGCATGCATCCATACAGGATGTTATAAGTCATTCAACTATTCTTGACTCTTTTCCAAGTTAGTGTGTATCACTGACAATGATGCGTCTGCTCCATACCTTGCCATAGAACCCCTCATTAATTTGTGTAAATTTCCTGCCCGTGACATATAGGGGGTGTATAGTGAGAGAAAACGTGTGTTCACCGCTCTGTTGCTTTCTAAACATCCTGTATACAGTTAACGACTAAATCATTCATAACCTTACCACATTTTGTGTATAATGATAGTTGATTTGTCCCAATTTATGTTTCTTAAGAATGTGACTGATAAAAGCTTACATCTGAAAGTATTCAACAAAGGCCATAATTCAACCAGTCTACCTTTCATTCTTGAGTCACAAACGAATATGACAAAAACATCAATTTACAAGAGGTATGAATAATTTACATGTATGTGGCATACGTAACCCGAGAGGCCATTCATAGATTTCATAGATTTATATTTGTATATCATATCAGGTACAATACAAATATTGGGTACACTGTTGACCTTGTGGGATTCGTGTGTCAGTTTATTATACATGTAGTTTGTGCAGATTCATCTGAGGATGTTATACCAATGCCTACATAGTACATAGGGACGATTTGAAACAAAAAATAATACCAAGGCTAAGAAAAGTTGAACAACCGATTCTAGAAAGAGAGGAGTATCTTGTGTGGGGGACCACAAACAAAATCATTTTATTTTAGAGTAAGAATGCTCAAGATTACAAGCAAAGTATTGAAAGACCAAGTCACACGCACATGAAATGTTGATCCGGATCATAGGTCAAAATCAAATCTCTTTTTTTTCCCACCTATCCACTCCAGGGTATATTCAATCAAATTCTCACATCATTACTACTAACCTTGCACACATATTGCATGGCAAGAAACTTTATGTAATCATAAAAACACAGCTTTGAATCGTGATTGATCCCGATTCAATTTTATCAATAAAGCGAATGTAACCAGAAATGTTTGCCACATGAAACTTTCACAAAAATCTCATTCTGCTTCTATCAAAAGCCAACATAAGATCAGAATGGGCTTCCCTTTAAAAACTGAAATTTTCATGGTTAGAAACTTTTAAAAATAGCAAGATTAGTATTGTGATTCATGAATTTTGCAGCATGAAAATTTCACAAATCTAAACCCATGCAATTGGTGAAGATTTTTTGCGAACAAAAAATTTGGGTAACTTTTACGATTCTTTAAGGGGAACTACCTTTATTTATAATTTTAAAAATGAATAAATGTGACTGTACCCTTGGGCTTGGTCTGACCATGAGGACAACACCTGCAGCTTTGTAGTTGAATGCAACCACCTCCACAACCACACATGTTTGTGACATCGTCTTCATAACAAGCAAAACCCGCTCACTCCCGAGTCAGTCTAACCGAGCCACTTCCTCGGCCGGCCCGCACAGCAGTTGGTGGGTCGGTTGGAGGTTGAGGTACTTTGTAGCTAAATAAAGGCTCAAAACCACAAGCGTGTCAGGAGTTTAAAAGCACCTATGTTCAGTCATCATGTATGTGTTTGTTGGTATCCCTTGTTTAGTGAAGCTTTGAAGCACTTTCAAATGAAGCGGTGTCAAGTAGTGAAGATGCAGGAATTCAACATCTGTTTTTTTCACAAGATGCAGCAGGCTAACAAACCTTTAAAATTCACTAACAGATCATCGAACAATAAGTGCCTAATCAGTCAATCTTAGGATTTCTTAAATTAAGGTGATTTCAGAGCATGCCCATTCTATAGAAACAGTGCATGGATCAAGGTAGATCGTCTTTTGGAGCTGCTGCGTGTAGAGGAGTGAGTAGCTATAGGATCCTGGATCATACCTTCACCATAAAGTCATCTTTGGTTGATTGATGTCAATACCCAGCAGACAGACGAACAACTATCTCTACTCCGAGGGTAGCTGCAACAACACTCTAACACAGCTCAAAAGCAGAGCTCTAGACAATTTGAGGAAAGCTTGCATTCCATGATCCTCTTTGACAGTGGTCATTATTCCAGCACGCCTCCTGGAAATCATATCTACTCTCAGTTTCAACAAGCCTCGATGACATCATGAAAACCTTTCAGAGACTTTTGGAAAGAAAGACCTGCACTTTCCTTTTTCCCTCTAGTTGTCTCCCAATCTTGCTCCTGGCAACACAGATGTCAGTTTGCCTCAGAAGCTCCCTCACATGATTCCTCATGGTAAACTCTTTGAAACAGGTGTTCAAATTCCATTTCCATCGATCCAAAAGCAGCGCAGGTTCCTCCTAGTCTCCCCTTGCAAACCCCATCGTCACAACCAATCTTCTCCCTACCGCAACTTGATTTTGATTTGACGCAAGTTATTATGCTCTAGAATTGATTCTTGGTGGGTGGAAGGCAACTAGATCACAAAGTCTACTGGAGTAATGAGGATGAGCAATGCGTAATCTCCACAAACGGACACTAAGATATCAGTCACTAAATGAATCAAACGCGTAGTGCGCGTAAATAGACTTGTCACTCTGGTAACTCATCCACAGAGAGAGAGAGAGAGAGAGAGAGAGAGAGAGCGTGAGGCACAAAGAAATAGCAAGTTCATCGACTTAACGGCTTGCTTGCTTGCCTGCCTGCGTGCCTGCCGGGTTGGTGGGTAGGCTTTAATCAGACCTTGGTGTCCCATAGGACTGTAGGGGGCTGGCGGCAGGAAATCCAAGCACTCCCTTACAGCGATTCAAATTTCCACCTCGGGCAGACCTGCGAGGAGCAGGTGCCGCAGCTATGTACAGTGTACGTAGCATGTGTAAGGATCTGACTGCCAGGAGGGGGGTATACTATCAATTTGAAGACAGGTGAATTGCAGTAGTCTTGTTTGTTACACAGCTTTTCTTGAAACTAGCTTTACAACAAGCCATTTGATTATCTAATTTATCTAATTCTAGTTTGCCTGCCCTATTCATTGCTGTGAATATTGATGGAATGCCTAAATCAATCATCTTTATTTGTTAAATAGATGACTATCAGAACCACAAATCGTTATCACTTGTTTTGTTAATAAGAACACATCCTTTAAAGTTTTGTTTTCATTCCTTGGGATGGCTGCCAACATTGGATTGAAAGTAAGTTGAAAAAAATGACACATAACTGATGACTTCAAGTGCTATTGTTGTAGTAGTTGTTGTTTTTGTTATTGTAGTAGTTGTTGTTGTTGTTGTTGTTGCAGTCGTTGTTGTGTTTATCCACTCATCGGGTAACAGGCTTCTTATCACTACATGTACACAATTCTGAATAACAATCACAAATGGAAAATAAGAGAAAATGTAAGGAAACATGAAAAAACTATGTTCATTGTTTTAAAACATAGATACTTGCAAACTGACGTCCCCAAAACAAATCATATGTACACTAAAGGAATTAAAGGGAGCCAATCACTTAAACTTTTGGGGGTATATATTTGGGGTTATAACAGTTTTAAATATCAAACCATTTTACTTCTATTGAGAGATACTACAAGTTATGATACTGATAATGAACTTGAAATTAAAGGAAGTGTCTTACAGGTAGATTAGCTTAAATGCACTCATCACAATTATACTGCACAGGAAGTCAATTCTGATTAAGATCTTTGGAGGTACATGAAATCATTTGTTTATCCTTGGCTTAAAAGCCTGATTAAGTTCTTGGTGTTTTTATTTCTTATTTAAAATAAATGTTGTTTTTATATTCCTCATTATCATTTTCAAGAGATAGATCAATCCCCTTTAAGTAAAGACGTGCTGTAATTGACCACAGCTAATTAGCCAACCTGCCAATGGGAAATGGTTGGATCGAGAGCTGAATTAGGGATTGGAAACATCACTGACGTAGATTTCCTCTACTTCCTGAGGGCATTATAATCCAAGATGACCACATGCTGAAACCATGTAGCTACGCTCAAACCATGGACCTACGTTGAAACTAAAGTCTTGGAGTGGCACCTCGAAAAACATGATAACTTTGACCAGGCACGTACGAAGCGGAGGGGGGGGGGTGTTTTGGGGGTTGAACCCCCCCCCTCAATTTGTTTTAAAAAAATTAAAACTTAAAAAAAATTGTGGTAATGGGTGACCAAAAAATGGGGTGACCTTACACCCCCCCCCCCCCCCCAACGGAATGATCGGTAAAATGTTCATGTTTTCGGGACCAAAAAAAAAGTGGTCTTCAAATCTGAACAGGCCTTTAAAACATAAAAATATAGCCTAATTTTCCTTTATGGGTCAAATTTTTGACTAAATTTTGAAAAGAGTTCCAAAAGCACATGTAAGCACATATTTTGAGGGTCTGTCTTGCATGACTATTTCTATTTTTTTCCAAACTGGCATACATGATGTATTTGAAGGGGAGGCATTCTCATATATATTGAACAATACCGGTACTTGGCAAATACTGAGCATGAACAGGATGTAGTATGGAGTTTACATTTCAAATCTAGATGTTCCCTCTCAATAGGCCTGTTTTCATCAGCTCGAGTTTGCCACATAACCCGCTATTATAACTATCCTGGTCACAATCCTCATTAGCCTGCAGTTGCAATTAGCGGGATATTTTTTTGTGAAAATATCCCGAGGAATCTTGGTCCTGTTTCCAAAATATCCCGCTATTTAGGAAATAGCGGGCTAATTTGCGCCGGTTCGAACTAGTTTGTGATGAGTGTATCGGTCTGGTGAAAACGCAATTTCGAGCTTCAGGATAATATCCCAATTATCCGAGTCTCAAAAGAGTGGGTTATTTGGCAAACTCAAGCTGATGGAGACAGGCCTAATAAGGAAGGAAATGATCCTATCCAACCAAGAAACAAATAATCTAAAAATTGTTTTCCGTGAAACTGAAATAAGTCCTAGTCTCCTAGGAGCAGCTCTATACCGGTAGATATAACATAAATCTATATTTTAGTGTAAGCTGTCCCACCAAGAAACACACAAGTCATTGGCCGGAGCCAACGCGTTGATTTATGAAACCACAAACCTTGTCGACTGATCTGAAAAACAGATCTCTTTTCTCAAGAGTGAAGGGGAAATGCAAGACTTGACCCAAATTTCAGAAAGAAAGCTACATGTAATGACCGACACATTTAACACCGAATGGGCATACAGTTAGTGATGAATATGGCTGGTACAATAATTAGGAGATCCTTGAGGGGGGAAAAGCAGAGCAAAGCGATTGTTGTGAACAGCCATTTTTTCACAGAGCAACTAGCATATTATTCAAAATAATTTATTAGGGAATGCTGTCTATATTGTATCAATGTAGTCACCATTAATATACATGTACAACCTCAATATCAGAATAGGGATGAGAAGGTCTGCAGACCATGGAGTGAGTTGAGTTCTTAAGTTTGTCCAACATGTTCATGGCCCCCTGTAAGTAATTTGTTGGTGATGTACTGATAGTGGTGTTTGAAAAAACCCAAATTATGTATTCTTTTATCAATATTTGTCTTTAAACACAGTTTTGTTTTTTGTTTTTTTTTGGGGGGGGGGATTTTTGCAGAAGCGTGTCTTTAATGACATCCCCTTTCACATTATGATACAATTAAAGGAAACCAAAACCTTCATACTAAGTTACATTTATTGTAAAGTTTAAAAGATTTGAATAAAATCAGTGAAAATTTGAACAAAATCGGGCAAGGAATAAGGAAGTAAGAGCTTTTTGAAATGACTAGTCACTAGAGGGCGGTATTCAATTTGATGACATCATCTGTGAACAACTCTCCATGCCTTTTGTGCATAAAATTTCACAATTTTTTTGTTTTCTTCGTATTTATTTGTGTTCTTGATCCGACTTAACATGTGAAGTAGAATATCATTTTGCATTCTATATCTTGCTTTCGGGGGAGTACATTATCTCAATCACAAGAAAGAAGGAAAAACATGAAATTTGATGTACAAAAGGCATGGAGAGTTGTCCACAGATGATGTCATCAAATTGAATACCGCCCTCTAGTGACAAGTCATTTCAAAAAGCTCTTACTTCCTTATTCCTTGCCCGATTTTGTTCAAATTGTCACTGATATTTTTCAAATTTCTTAAACTTTACAATAAAGTAACTTAGTATGAAGGTTTTGGTTTCCTTTAAGTGAAACGTTGCCATCACATTTTTTACAGAATTTGGGGCTCCAAACAATTAAGGGGGGGGTTTAAACGGCCAGTATGAATGCACCTGAGAAAGTCTTGAATTCAAGGAAGATGCTGTATTTTGTCAATGCTGTGATCAAACTTAAGCAGACATAATTACTATGGATAAGCTCCGCAGTGTCAAATTTGGCAGACAGTTAGTGACTGCAGTATGACTCATTGGCAGTGTTCAGTATGTAATAAGTGGCTTTAATGAGTTACTGATCAAATAACAGTCGGCGGTAAGCTTCGTTCATACTGATAGAAGAAAACGGTCAGAAAAATAAGCAACATGCAGCAAACGGTAATGACATTTATAAGCAAGGTATACTTCAACTTTCTGTATCTTATAATGCACAGATACATGTTCAAGTAATGTACACTGTACATGTAAGTAAGTACCAGGGATGCCAGTTAGAATTGATCAGAGGGCCTGAAAATCACCGAGAATGAGCTATTTTGTACACAAAAAAGCCCAAACTATGGTCTGAAAATAACTTGCCAGGTCCTGAATTCAGGCTATTGCCTGAAAACTGGCATCCTTGAAGTATGCTTAGAGGCCTACTGTATGTTGCATGCAGTGATCATTATCCTTCCCCAGAAACACATCCATCCCCCCCCCCCCCAAACCTGCCATTCATGTAAATGTTGCTCAAGAGAGCTTTTTGAGGCATTTACCACATCACGTATGAACAAGGCTTTAATAAAGGGGAAGCTAGCAGGCAATTTTGATGCTGCTACTCACTCGAACTTGGGCCGAGTTGTTGCTGTGGTGAGAATAGGTCTCCTCTTGCTTCTGGACGGAGCGGCGAAGTGGCACTGCATTCTGGTCCGCAGACACCGCCGGGTGATTGCTGGCCCCGCCGTCACGTCGCCTCTTGAACATAGAGCACCAGGCGCAGCAGCTCATGAACACATGGGGGCGCTATTGACCTGTGCTGCCAGCAGCACAGCAGCTTGCTGCATCGGAGTTGAGGTTGCAACTGTGTCTGTCCGTCTCCACTGGGGGTGTGTCGGTGATGCACGCTGTACTGTGGCTCAACCTTGGCTATGTACCTGCAACATAACAACACAAAGGAGTAAATACACATTTTTAGTAGGCCTACATTATATAGTACTCACTTAAAAACCCACTTAAAAATTAAATGCTTAAGAGGCACTAGTGCAAAACATGAAAATACATAAACATACGTGATCGTGATCTGCATTTCTGTTGTGCTGCATTTTTTTTCAATATGAAAGAAAAGAGCCACGACACCATCAATTTATGCCCAA